AATTGATAGTGACGTCGCGAAAACGTTTTACAGGAGCCAGGTCAAGCTGCCAGGATTGGTTAGCACCTGAGGGCAACCCCCTGCTTTAAAATGGACAGCCTTTCAGCTCCATGTGTCCGCTCTCTTAGCGACCTTCTACGGGACGAACAGTCTGTCATCAATTAGCTTTCACTGGTTTACATTTACATTATTTACATAATTACATCACAGGGGAATTTTACATATAAGTAAAGTTTAAACTTTATTCATCAGTTCGTAACCATAAGTGTATACATATTTATGTTTATAAATAAATGATTTATAATTAAAAGTAAATTATATTTATGGGTACTAAAACTCATTTCTTGATAGATATAAAATTTATTAAATTGACATCCCGACCTACCCGGCAAATGTTTTATAACATAACTTCAACAATAAATATAAATATTAAACAGTCAAAAGAGGCAAAAGAAAAACACAATGAAACAATGATGGCCCTAATCATGATTTAATCCCGTATCGATTCGAACAATCTGGGGGGGCGGAGGGAGGGGGTTGGTTGTATATCGAAGGCCTGAATTGATGGATGTTTTGTTTTAATTGAAGAAAAACCAACATCATACAACAGTTATTTATTAACAATGTAGGTATTTAATATTACATAAAGGGAATTCAAACAGGATTTTAGCAAGAACTGAGCATAGCGAAATCATCTTATAAGTAGTTGTAGTAAAATTTTTGATGTGGTTTATGAAATGTTCCTATTGTATCAGGCAGATTTGGTTATAATCCTGTAACTTTTAGACTAAAAAAATAGTACTATGTTTGCCTCAGGCATATTTCTGGAGCGTAGGTCCGAATGGGCTTAAGTAAGTCTGGAAGAAATGAATCAATAAAATAATTTAAAAAAAAATTGGTTAAAGCAAAATTGTATTATAATTATACATGTACAAATATATTATAAATATTTTCCTAACTTCATTGTTTAAACACACCATTCGAACATCTCCAAAAGTCTACATATATCAAAAAAATATGGCCATCTCATAAAATTAATTCATTCACTTAGCCAAAGTAAAAACAACTAAAAAGCATGTATAACTATTATTAACTAAGCTTAAACAAACAAAAGCGTGAAATTTGGCGCCCAATACATACAAAGTCTGCTAGTATGACCCTGAGTATGTATTGTTTCCATAGTAACACATACCTGCGTAATCCTATAAGACCTGGACCAGTCAATATGTCTAACAAGGAGGTCATTCTACAGTCTGCAAGGATTATTACTAATATATTATTTAACCTACTGGTAATTTGACAATGCTTTAACAACGATTCCCTGAGAATCATCATTTTCATTCAATGTCTTTTGGAAAAAATTTATCGTCAATGATTTTTTTTATCACCATTACATAGCATTACCACATTTGGTATATATAGTTCAAATTATCACAATATGCTTTTCAAAACAAAATTGTTATTTCCGGTAATATTTTAATTATAGCTTTTTCTATCAAAATCGGTTCACTTATTCTAAAACTGATATAACAGTTATATGAATAATGAGTCAATATAATTTTTTCTTCGTGGAAATATAAATTTAATTGCACATTCACCTCCCACGTCAAAGCGAAAAAAATTGAATTATAAACTTGAATGTAGACGTTTCCAATATCTTCAAAGTATCAATTAAAGCTAATTGATCCGTTTTTCTTTGTATTTGGAAATGATCAAATAAAAAACGAAACACTGTATTCTATAAAAAAAAAAAAAAAATTAACTCCAATCAATATATTTCATCAAAGTGGAGGTTATTTTGCAAGGAATTATTTTGAACGAAGATCCACATTTCTAACAAAATGCGAGACAATAATAATAATAATAATAAAACCAGTCTCCTAAAATAACAAAGAAATAAACAAATTATATAAAATTTATGCTTTACATGTTAACAATTCACAAGTTATGAGCGATGTTAAAAGCGATGTCACAACCATCGTTGGGGTGGGGTCGGTTGTGACATTTTTCTTTTCTAATTTGGTTCTATGAGATAACTGATGTTATGGACAAAATTTTATTATTTATACGCAGTCGAGCTTACACTAAAAAAAAAAAAACACAATTCTTCTATCTAATATGCACGCTATAAAAATTGAGGACAAGAAATGAAAACTGTTACAATCATACTGTTACGGTATGAGACTCCATGGATAACACATCTTGTATAATAATGACGAAAGTGGATAAGACCACCGAGAATTTTAGGCGCCTAGGAAAGCAATGAAACACGAAAACTCATGAGGTTAATATAAACAAACAAAATTAAAATAGTCATGTAAAAATGTGAGGCTTAGAAAAAAAAAATTCACTCGTGTCAGAGCTTTACATTTTTAAACAGTTAATGAACTAACATGAAACATCAAAAAGGGTCAAAAACAATAACCATTTATGTTATATATAGGGTGCCCCGATATTAACGCAAGATTTCAATTAAATAAAAAATAAAGGAAGGAGATGGTCCGGGGTTGCGGTCATAAAAAGGCTAAATAGTGGCAAAACTATTTTATTAAAAGCCAACATTTCGGCCTGACTTTGCTGGTCTTCTTCAGGGAGGTGTGTTTCTCTAGGAGTTTCACTTAGAACTGAGTTCAGTTCAGACCAGCAAAGTCAGGCCGAAATGTTGGCTTTTAATAAAATAGTTTTGCCACTATTTAGCCTTTTTATGACCGCAACCCCGGTCCATCTCCTTCCTTTATAATGCAACGGCCAACTATTAAATATTCAATAAATACAAAATAGTTCTTTTTTCTTTGTCAATTTAACAGCTGATAGTTTAGGGTTAATAAAAATGGAGCGTTATACGAGCGAACAATGTGTTTTCATTGTTGAAAAATATTTTAAAAATAATGAAATTCTGTCGTCCACAGTTCGAATATTTGGTACAAAAAGGTCGGAATAGTGATTTAACTTCAATTGTGAAGAGGGTGGTTGAAAAAGTCAAGCAGGCTCGATCAATTCATTAAATACTCACTGATATTGTCTGGCTTTGATATTGACAATTTAGCGGCTCGTTTTTGGTCGACCATTGCTTTTTAACATCAAAAATTGATTCAATCTGCTTGACTTTCTCAACCACTCTCTTTACAGTTAGTAACGTTAAATCACTATTCCGACCATATTTTGTCAGAACATTTCAAACTGTTACCACAAGACGTTTATTAGTTAATAATATTTTTCAACAAAGAAAACACATTGTTCGCTCGTATAACGCTCAATTTTTAGTAACCTTAATGTATCAGCTGTTAAACTGACAAAGAAAAACGAAAAAAAAAAAGAACTGAGTTTTGTATTTAATTTAAATTTTGCGTTAATTTTAGAAACCCTATAGAACCAAAGAATTAAGACATCATGTTAACTTGATTTTTAACCCACGGGTCGATGATGTTGGAACAAACAATTAACTTCGATATTGAACGTTTTCACATGTGCGAAAACTTTATTCAATAAGTATATTATTATTTTCACTTTATTACTTGTTTCTATATAAAACACGTTTTATGTAGTCTCTTTTATCACAGTTATATTAAATTACTGAAGGAAGTTAGTAGACTGTTCAACATGCGATAAATATTGAAGACATAGTCATTATAAAGTTTTCATTAGTGCCGACGTTTGGAATAAAATAATTTGGATTATTAATGTTAATAATTATACTGTTATTATGGTATGTTAATACTTTATTATTATTAGAACTAAGTAATGTTTAATATAAGAGATTTTTTTATGATTAATATTGTTATTCTTAATATATTGTATAATATATTTTCCTACTTAATCCACAAATTAGACAATGAAAAGATCTGCAATACATATTGGAATAAATTCCGTCTCCTAAAACAATACTCTATAATAATTAAAAGTTGTTTTTGATATTCCCCATTTCCCGGCAACTTACCCCTACATTTATCACATATTTGAAATAATATATATATCTATATATGGCCGGGAAATGGGGAATATCAAAAACAACTTTTAATTATTATAGAGTATCGTTTTAGGAGACGGAATATATTCTAATATGTATTGCAGATCTTTTCATTGTATTATATATATTTATAGATAGAATAGACGTTATATATATATATAACGTCTATTCTATCTATAAATATATACTATAAACAGGCACAGATACTATTATAACTATGTAATCCTCAATATATTAGATGATTTTTTTTTATGATAAATATTTTTATTCTTAATATATTGTATGATATATTATCCTACTTATCATTTCAATCTGTTAAAGTTGTCTGTATTATAAACACTATTTGGATGACAATTGTATACATTCAGTCAAACTATGTTATGCTTATATTGATTGGCACCTCTTGCTCATGTTCATTTCATTACTAACCAATAGTCACAATTTTGTAACTATAAAAAACAACGTAAATGTTGTTCCGCCCGACCCTTTTACTAGTCTGCCAATGTGTCCGTAATAGAATATGTTTATAATATAGGATAGAATAGGATAATATATCATACCTTCAATGCCCGAAACACAGTTAGTAAGAGAAAATATCAATGTTTTTTTATAAATTTATTATATACATTATTCTTATTTTGTACAACGTTTTACACATTTTATTGATCATCAATCACTATATTTTTTATTATTGACCATTATCTGCCGTAAAATATTATAGCTCTGATTGCATTAAACATTTTAAGTCCCGATAATGATCCACATGTTTGGGTTGGAAAGTCGACACTAATAAAAACTTTATCATGACTGCGGGCTGAATATTTATCACTTAGTTATATTAAATGTACTTCTACATGGTTACAAAATGAAACTAAATGACGCATTCAAAGTTATTTTCACGCAAAAATTTGAAAAAGTGTAACAGTTTCAGTTATATTTAGAATATGACAATAATAAATGAATTATATGATATATTGATGATTATGCAATATGACCATAAATAATTGCATTTATTTATTTATGTTTCAGGTAAATGAAAATGAATCAATGGGAGATGAACAGGGGCTACGACTCAACCATTAGGAAGTCTTGGAATGGATCTCGTCAGTATTATTTAAAAAAATTGGGCATTGCCAATTAATCTAAAATATTTTTGTAAAAAAATGTACCTATATTTGTTTTAACTGTAATATGAATAATATTTCAAGTAAAATTAATATCGATTAATATAAATTAGAGAACCTGTTAATTTTCTTTTAAATCAAACGTACTGTTACCTCTAAAAACAAAAACTACTTTCAATATTTAAAAGTGTGAAATTTATATCTGTTGCTTAATTGAAGATTAATTTATTTTATTAATTAATTATTTCGAAGATAATTATGATTTTATTATTTTAAATTTATCAGTCCCACAAAAGGAGTGCCGAACTGTGGTAATTGCCGGCGACGGTCAGCGTACAAGAACGTTGATTGGTCAGACACCTTTAAGCTCCGCCCATTCTAAGCCAATCCATCTCTTCCTATTGGTTCTAGCTGTTATAATGGTCTTCATCTTCGTATCAGGACTTGTTTTATACTACAATTGTAAGTATTTTTTTACTTTTAACTAACGTAATTAGTATTGTATCATTCCGTATAAAAGTATTTTATTGGTAAACTGTGATCTGGAATCCATTAAATAAATATAACATTATGTATATATTATTATATATAATAATATAACATTATCCTCACACCGCTGTGCGGTAGAAGAGGAGAAGATTAAATAAGTATATGATAATATCAATATTACTTACACTAAGAGTGTAAGATAAACTAGTTCTTATGAAGACATTTCACCAGTTATGTTATAAAATCTTTTGTGTTGCTTAAGAAATATTGAGGTGAAAGATAAAATTTCTCATTGATAGTATAATAAATAAGTTGAGTTAAATATCATTGACAGTGTTTACAAGCATGTACACAATAAAAAAAGTATGTTATTTATATAATCTAAAAAAAAAAATTATTTTTATATTAACTGTTCATTAAAACGAAATATCCATATCAAGAACTGGAATGCAGACCATGATATGGTATAATAGTTTTTTTAAATTTATAAATATGTTTATGTACCTAACAAGTCGTGCCTAATAAGCCTAATAATAAAATAAAAAGATGTGTTTACTTAATATTTATTTATGAAACTCCATAGTATATCAACAAACTACTTCAATAAGAAATAACCTAAAACAAAGATAGAGCCATTTGATATTATAATTTATTTAAAATCTTTTGTTTTAAACCCATTTTTTCAGTATTTAATTGTTATTGTCCACTTTATCTTAGAAACATTAAGATATGAAGGTTAATTTTCTCTCTAACTCCATCACCATCACTCTCTCTCTCTCTCTCTCTCTCTCTCTCTCTCTCTCTCTCTCTATATATATATATATATATATATATATATATATACACACACACACACAAAATATTACAATATTTTTTATAATTCGAAATTTATATATTATAACTTAAAATATCAATTATTGTCGGATAATAGGTCATGAAATTTCATGACTTATTATCCGACTATTATTGATACTTTAACTTAAATATATATAAAGCAATGTTATCACATTTCAAGAATTTTAATTCACTGTTACGTTTTGATAATTATGTTTTATTTTAGTAAATAAATAAAGATTTTCTACCAATACTACATGAGAAAAATGAAACGGTAATAGGTGAATTTGTTAAAGAATTCCATTAACACCATTAGTTTTTACAATAAGCGGTACACATAGCACGACATACTTTAATACAAAAGAAAATACCGATTTAATTTAAATCTGTTTTATCATTTTTTTTAACCTAGGCGTAATCTCTACACTTTTAATAAATTACGTGATATAATTCGTTTAGTCAAAACAAGAAATAACTTAGTTAAACGTTTTTTTGAATTCGCAAATTTATAGAAGAGATTAGGTACGGTTGTGACAATATTTTTTTATCGTCCATAACTTTGTTAGTACGCCAATTAGTTGGGAAAAAAAACAGGTTTTTATTGTAAAGCCTGAACTTTCTCATAAATACAATGGTTAACTAATAAGAACAATCGACCTGTGACAGAGCTTAAGGTAGGTAGTAACATATTAAAAATACAACAAAATGGCCTACAATCACTTTTACTGTATTGTATAAAAAAGAAACAAAATATAGAAAAATTATGAAAGCTTATACCTAACAAAGATCAAGGCGAACATGCCCGTATTGCATAAGAGCCGCATCACGGCCGTATGTAGTTCCTTCTCGATGAAACCAAACATACACTTAGATTAGGTTAGTACCATAACGTGTGTTCTGTGCCTTTTTTGGTTTCACTAAGAAGGTATTTAAACAGCCGCAGCGCGCCTAGAACATAAGTGTCCAAAAATATTGGCACAATAACATCTACATACAATTATTATAAAAGTCTTCATATTAAAATTACTTTAAACAGTTAACCAAGTATTTCTATTTATACATTAGAGTAACCGAGTCAAATAAAAAAAAAAAAATGATAAACGCTATTCCGATCAGTGAAACATAAAGAAATCAGGGAAAATCATAAAAATATTGTAAGCAGAAAACCTCCGGCAATATAGTTAGTGTCTTTATTAACGGCAATGCGTGTTAGTGTCTTTATTAAATCGAGATTATTACGTGAGGAGCTATTTTAGCATAATATTCTTAATTCAATGTTTAAACATTTTTGACCGATTAAAAAAACTCTAGAAGAAAAGAGAGAGAATGAATTGAAAGTGGCGTTGCAGGTCCTTATTTCAAGTTGTACATTTGGTAACTCCACACCATTGCTCGCCGAATGAAGACAAAGGAGAGAATTATACAGCCCAAAGCGTTCCCACCGTAGAACGGAAGAAAAACTAAAGCAGAACCACCCAAACTCCCAAATAAAAAAAAAAAAATTTAAAATAAATTTATCATAGAATTTATTTAACGAATACAATAAAAACAAAGATAAAATGTAATTAAAATTTCTTTTCAAGGATGACCTGGGATTCAAACGTCAAAATGAAACGATAAACTTTAAACAAGCGAATGAAAATACTGTACTCACATTTTTCTATATCGAAATTTAATGTTGAACAAAAACTAAATGCATGCACTTACTTAATTTAAACCATCTGGACATAAGCCTCTCAGTTTACGGATCGGCAAAAAAAAAATATACTCATTCACTAGAATCATTTAAATCCAAAATCGTACGACTCATACCATGAGCTCGCTGGTAAGTAAACAACAATACTCTCTACATTAGTTTTCATCTTAAACTACACGGACACAACAACAGATTTAGAAACGACATGCCCATCAGAAGGTGGCTAAAAAGGAGCTGGATAGGAGATCCCCTCACCTAAATAAAGGAAATAAACAGCTATTAGGAAGCGGTGCTGATCCTTCTTCATGACTATAATGCCAATCATGATTTATCACAACAAATCTGCTGATTGTCAATACCATGATAGTTGCAAATAGATATTTGAAGTAAAAAAAAAATTATTTTTATCTATTTTTCGGCTAGGAGTAAACTCTTAAAAATGCTATTAAAGACTAGGATACACGATGTAATTAATCAACACATAATCTATATCTGCTCACAAAGCTATATTTTACTTTTAAGATATGGCTGGGTATGAAAACTAAGAAATTAAACAGTAGGTTAAAAACTGTTCTTAAGATTTAAAAAAAAAATAATGCATTACACTTGATATTTTCATGAAGATCTTCATTTTGTTCACATTTTGCATGTTAATGTCTTTTTGGTACTGATTATATGATCGCTCGAGCCATATTAAACGGTAGCATTAATTAATTTATGATAAGCATTTTTATTTGTATCTATATATTAAAACAATGAACCAATTTAAGGAACATTCGACAAAATTCCTAATTTTAGAAATATTATTTGTAGAATGTCGTGTACCCATTGGGTTTTGTTGGAAATGGATTTTATTACATCTTCGAACTTTTTTTTATAATAATATTATTTAATTGATTTAGCATAACCTTGAATTATTAAATTTTAGTAATACGTACTTTTCCCGCCTTGTATCTCTGCTAGTCAGCTGTTTAATATAACCTTTCTTAGTAGCATTAACAGAACCTTTTCTTTCCTTTTGTATGTATGCAACCATTTGTATGTTTGCATCCATACATCACAGGTAGTATACAGCTATTGAAAGGTAATGTTCTTTAGAGACTGGCTGATATTGTTGTTCTTCATAATCATTCTTAAGCTCTAATATTCCCGCCAAGCCGTAACTGTCCATGTTTTAATTTCTGTTGATAGCCTATCTTTAAAATAAATCCTTTGATTTCGTCTACTATGCTTATTTCTGGAAGGTCTGTTTTTACTTTGGTGATATGTGAGTTTGAAATTATTTTTGTCTTCACGAGTTTCAACGATAATCCGTGTTGGGCACTTCTGTATATAAGCTGTTTTAGCATGGTCACTATTTCTTTTTCTTCTTTTGGATAACAATCTTCAATATAATATCGAAACTTATTCTAAAGGAGATGGATTGGGATCAATATGAAATCAGTATCAACAGTGTAAAACTAAGCACACTTAAATACCCAGATGATGTGATTTAAAAAAAAAAAAATTTTCTCCGTAAAGTACAGAGAATTAAAATTAGACAGGAAAATTACAGATAGAACCCTGGTGTGCATTATTATTCTTAAATATTATATATTATTAATATAATATAATATCAATTGATAAATTAATACTACTTTTTAATATGTATGTACTACATTTTTAATATGTACAATGTAATCCTCCGCTCTTCTTAAAAACTACACAAGCGAAGGTATAATTATAAAAATTGTAACTTGTGGAGTGTAAATCTGTTCTATGATTTCCACATTCTTCCTTGGTTTAGAATTTTTTTTTTTTAATTTTCTCTCCGCAAAAATATGTGTCCTAATAAACCCATAAAAATCCAACACACGATACATTCACTATCTGAGTCACCCCTGACAGTGCCAATTTTCTTTAGGAAGATATATATAAAACTCTCTACAAACATTCCAAACACGACTCATATTACACTATCTCCGTTAGAGAACTCTCCAGAAGGACCGAACCGATAACTAAGGATCTTCTAATTTGGATTGTTAAGGAGGTAATATTATATCCCAGTGTCGCGAACTGCCGATACCTAATTGGAATAACAACCATCGACCGAAGCCGCCTCAGCCACCACCTCCGATGTTCCGTTTCTTCTTGCTCTCGCGAAGACTGAAACCAGAGCAGAGGAGCTCGCTACAACTAGGACGTCCTTCGTTGCTAATGAACTTCCACTAATTAATAAAGTGATGTTGAGAATCCATTTAAACCCATTAGTCCATCTTTCTCCTAACTCTTGAGCAAATGGAGATCAATATTTGAAATATTGTGATAGCCGAAGATTACAAATCATACAACCGTTTTGTCCTCGAACAAAACAAAAAAAAATAAATTTTGGTTAGTTAACGAACATAAAATATATAGTAACCACATGTTGTAGGAATAATTATTTTCAAACAACTTAATAACATAATATACTAGAAAAAAATCTCCTGTATGACTAACGGCGGACTAACCCACATTTTACAAATTATACAACTGATCATTTAATTGAAATACTCGTTCCTCAAATTGTATAACTATAATTATTATGTATTCTGTAGTTCTGACTGTGTTATTAATTAATTTTTTAAACATTTATATTATAGATCCCATTTTTTTGGCACTTTATATAACTATACTTATTCTTATTGCTAATTCGTAACCACAATATATATCCAACTTGTCCAGCTTCATATAAGCCCAACATCAATTTGAGCCTTTTATTTCTAATATTTTCATTCTATCTTATATTTTGCTTCATTTTATATATTTTTGTAATTAAATCACAATATAATAGAAATAATATTATATATAATATACTGAAGAAAAAATGTCTATATCGAAAAATAACTGCAGTTACCTAGGTAAAATAAAACTAGCCCCTCTAGATGAATACCATTTCCCGTACAAATTTTGGGTCTAAAATCTTTATTATTTATTAGGAAAGTAGGAGTTTACATGAGCTCAATACTGTAACGAAGAAACCGGGAAGTAAATCTTTATTTTGTATTAGCGTAGTAGGAGGGTCAAAGGGGCGAAGCACATATATAATTAAATAAACAGCTATATAATTAGTGTAAATAATAGAAGTAATAGAACAGCTCCTTTAATCACCTATCACGAATATAATAAAATGAAATAAAATAAAATATGATAGTCACTAAAAACTTTTTTATGTAATAGAGATAATATCCAACAAGTTTCCATTTATGCATCATATGTCCAAAGAAAGTAATTGCTACCTTCCATGAACAAAACGAAAAATTAGTCTAAATATGTTAGATAATAAAAAAAATTAGTAAAGGACTATAAAATTGATATGTTTTTAAAAATTAATTAACTATAGAACTCCAGAAAAAGGCCTATATTAAGAGCGGGGCCAAAAAAGGGAGATTTTTTGGAATTTGTATACATATTACATATTTTGTATATATATATATATATATATATATATATATATATACACACATACCTATGTATATTATACTCGAACAAAATCGAAAAGAAAAGGTTTTTTTATTTTATTTTGAAACAACATACGCCATATTCCAATAAAAGCACTGCTCATTTCAGCTTTAGGGTCGTTATTTGAAAATTAATATGCCTTGCACATGAATGTCATAATGTTGAGGTATGCAATATTCCATATACCACGGAATTAATGGAGTATATTTGCATTTAAAAACAAATGTATAGTACATGTATATCTATTTTATGAATTTGTAATATGGCGACTGATAGCAAATGGAACTAGGCATTTGTAGCTTGTAGTCCGAGAATCTGAGTTATTGATTCGTTTTAAAAATTAAATTTAAATGTAACTAATAAAAGTCCATTTCTCTAACGTTTCCCGTAACAGGCAACTTATTGATCAGATAAGCTTTCTATTATATAATTATTATTATTTTAAAAAAAATTTATTTATTGAAAAATGTTACAGTCTGTCTCAAAGGACAATGATATAATTATTAACTTAATTATTTCCACATATGGCTTCGGAAATGTGACATGCTTAGTTTTAACATCGTCTAAAGCTGGAGAATATTCCGTCAAACCGAAAATAAACTGATTTAGAACCTTCGGTTAATGTTTGATGCCGATTTTAGTATTTCGTAATTTTTTGTCTATATTTCTTACAGAATCATCTTTGCAAAAAAGTATGTTTTATTCACGTTAAAATACTTGTTTTTTCAAGAGTTCAATGATTTTATTACGCCTTTTTTTCTGTTTGATGTATGAAGATCAGTTAATCTTGATAAAACTAATTAATTTACATTTCATCCAAGTATTCAAAAGTTATGAAAATATATTTCAACTTAACAGTAGATGATAAACATCTGAGGGAACCTGTGTGATATGATATTACTTAATTCAGTAATTGGAATTCATATAGTCATTTTGAACAAACAAAATAGCAACATCATAAACTATAAATTTGGTAGTCCTCGTTTGTCCTTGATTTCTTTTTTATAATATCATGATTTATTAAATAGAATTAAGAGCCTACATCTCTATTTAAATTGATCTCTAGGAAGGATTTTTTTCTTTTTTTTTGCGGGGGGGGGGGAGAGGAGGACGAGAGGTGGAAATTCATCATCATTAAAATTCCAACTTTTTTTTGTGTATAATTAAAATCTATAAGAGCGCAGGAAGGAATAATAAGAGAATGGTATAGTGAATAATTAAAATATATCTATATAAATACAAAATACGAAATATATTTACCCTGAACTATAATTTAAATAGTGCATATCACTTGAAAAATCTAATGACAAAACAAAAACCAATCTTTATGGAAAGAAAAAAGAATTTAAACTTTTTTATTTTTTTATTAGGTCACAATTCGATAGAGAAATTATCACCAAGTGACTAATCCCAGTAACTTAAAACCAATGAGATAACAGGCATTATGTTACTTGGATTATTGCATTACTAATGGTCTATTACTTATCCGCATAGCAACAAAAATATAGCAGAAAGATAGTAAAATTTGGGTTTGTTACATTTTTAGTTAATCATAAAATTCAATAAGCTTGAAATATAATATAAGTTACATGTATAATAATATAATTTTATTTTTTCATCGGAAAAAAGTGGCAATGCTTAATGTTATTTCTGGATAAGCATCTAATTAATGCCAAGGTGAGTTTACATCGAAATATAAATAAAAAATAGGGAACGTACCTTAGTTATTGGAAATATTTTCTTAAGACTGTTAACACGTGTAGTCAATCTTAAATTTAACCTACAATGGGTGCTTCTGAAGAGACGGGATTATAAGCGCTGGTGAAGAGCTTAATTATAAATTTAATTTAAAATAATTAGACAATGATTTTGCTCCTAGGGTCCTGGGTGAGGATTCATTATAAGTATTTCATTGATATAAATATAAAATAAACATATTCAATACTTAACACAGTTAAGATATTTAAAATGATTGATCGAAGAAACTTCTGAGATAGCATACTCCGCTCATTATACAATTCCTTAGTAACATTCATGATTCATTGGATAAAAATCCATTCCCTCCCTTTATCACAGGACCTCTTTATGATCGAGGCCTCCACGTTCTGAATTTTTTACGTCGCCCTCAGAAAGGATTCCAGGGAGCACGCAGAGGAACCTGCCGAATCCATAATTCCTCCCTCCCCCCCCTCTCCCTCAGGAGGACAGGATTACAGGGATGGACTCCTGTTCCGTGGGATGTCCCACAAAGGCTCCAACGGCCACTCATTCCATCGTAATCCCCAGTCCAACGGCCGGGAAAATGGAGTTCACCTTTTACACAATCATAAAATGTGTTACAGCAGAAAGGCTTCCGCTTCCTTAAGATCTTTACTTATAGATTGGAAACGAGAAATACATTATAATGGACATAAAGTATCTCCAAATATCAGGATGACAATGAGCTCTCTAACTTTCGGGTGGATAAGAAACAGACTGCCTTTTCATAGTTTTATTCGACTCAATATTAGAAATGTGATTTGTATCGAAAATTATTCATATTGATACGACAATACCATTTTATGATAAAGATGACATAACAAACGTGGAAGATTTAGATTAGGTAATATATGTTTGTATACTGATAAAATACAAAAAATAAATATTATTATCATAGGAAATACGTTTGAATTCCTTTAATACTTCTGTTTTCACATAATACTCGGGGAGATTAAGTGTGTTCTGAGGAACCTACCCTCCATACATATTGGATAAACAATGTCATCTACTGGCACTGTTCGTGTTGAGGCTTGAAACGGAAAATTTTCTTTATTTTTAAAATGTTTCAGTATCATCGACATTTCTACTGTAGATATGTTTTCAGTTCTTTTGGAAAAAGAACTTTTTCTCATGCAAAATTTAAAATAAATGTTTAAGAGAACTTTTTTCTTTGCTTAAAAGTCGATCTAAAAAATTACTTTTATTCATAGCTACTAAACAAACACTTAAATAAATAAAAGTTAAACTTTTATCACACTTCATAAAAAAAACAGTTCCTTAAAACTTTTATTGTAAGAATTTTTTTTCCTAAAATGTTTTACAGGAACTGTTAAAATGGAATTTCTTAAAAAAGTTTCAACACCTGGAAACTTCTGTACTATACTACAAATTTTATTTTATTTCAGGTTCTAATTAGAAATTAATTTTTATTTTTTTAAATTATGCAGACTATTTTAAAATGAATTCAAACACGTCTGAAGTCATTTCCAAACTTAACTAATTGAAGTTATATTACAATCTTTAATAATCGAATAGGTAATTTTTTTTTTTTTACTATTTTATAAAAACTATTAGATAGCATTAAAATTGACATCAAAGCAAGAACAAAAGAAGCAACTATGGTCTGTCAGGCTCCGTCAAATCTCCAAATAAATTCTCAATTATGTCATATCAATGAACATAATTGATTATAGATTAAGAGATTCCAATCTTTTGACATTAAACTGGTAGAGGTAATTGAATTACATAAGATAATTAACAATAAATTTGATAATAAAAAAATACTTAACAGTTAAGTTAATAGTAATTAAAAAAAAAAATATGGTAACATTTGGGCTTAAAATCAAGCATTAACGTAATATATAATGTTCCACGCTAATGACGTAAAATTTGTTAAAGATTATTAAAAGATATCATCGTTATCTTATTACAGAATCACAAAGGGTAATTTACGATTCATTTAATAATTAATT